CACATGATTCACCTAAAATATATAATATTTATGTACACATTTTTATACCTTTTTTTAAGATATTGCACTTTAATGAAAGATATTTGCGTGTTTTTCTTTCAGGTACAATGAAAAATGGTGAAAAGAGTGAAAAATGATCAAATTTGAAGCAAAAATGATGAAAATGTGCAAAAGAGCTGTGACGCTTAAGCGCCCAGAGTTGGCGCTTAAGCGCCAGTAATATAGAGAAGACTGCGCATAAGCGCCAGAGACCTCACGCTTAAGCGCCAATGACAGTTATTTGACGGTTTAATGAATTTTGACGAATTTTAAAGCGATTTTTAAGGCACCTATCGGCGAAAAACGGTGGTTATAACCACTAGGGACGAAAATATATTAAAAGAACTTTTGAAAGGAGGCATCTCTTAGAGAAATTCATCGAATATGGACACATTTTAAAGAGATACTAAGACATCTCTTGGAAAACTATAAAAAGAGGGAGTTGGAGTGGATTAAGGGCTCTTCTAGTTTTTTCATTGCTGTTCAAGGGAGACTCTTCTCTGCGTTTTAGGAGAGACTTTTAGACGCCATTTGCATTTACCTCTTCCTTTTCTTTTTAGTTTTTATTTTGAGAGTTAAGAGTGTTGTAAAAGAAGAAAAGATTCAAAAGAACTTTAAGAGTTTCGTCGAGGATTTGATATAAGTTTTTATCTTTTGTTACTACATTTGGTTTTAATTTAGACTTCTTGTTGATTTGACAATGATTTCTACTTTTAAACTAGATTGTGGTTGTGTTTTCTCCATGAATTATGAGTAGTTTTCTTTATCTTTTTCCTTAAAATGAGAAGTAATTAAAGTTTTGGATGAAAGTTATGGAAAGTATTGATTTTTAATGTTGGAATAAGTGATGATTTAAATCCATGTATTTCATTTATTTCTTGATTTCACTCATTAAATTGTTAAAATAGGATTAATGAAATTAATAAATAGGCATGCTAGCTCCCTTTGTTATCTCTCTCGGGATTTGGCTTCTCAGGTTTCCTCTTCGGCATTGGTAGCTTTCCAGGTTCTTCTTTTGGTGTGCTTTGGTTTGAAGCTCTCGGATAGAGAGAGGAGAGGAGGAGAGAGGAGAGGAGTATTTTCTTGTAATCGTCGAGGTGATCGACGAGTGTAATTCCTCAAGTGAATAAAATCTTTTACAGCTCCGTGGACGTAGACAATTTGCTGAACCACGTAAATCTGTGTGTTCCGCTGTGGTTTCTATTTGTGAATTTTTCTCGATCCCTTTTTTCGCTTATTGTTGCCATTTTTCACAACAACTGGTATTAGAGCTTAGATTCGGATCTGAGGGAAAGCGATGACTTGACATGATGTAATGACATTGGGGATCGAGAAGTTTAATGACACAAATTTTGGTTACTAGAGGATACAAATAGAGAACTACCTCTATGAGAAGAAATTTCATCTTCCGTTGCAGGGAAAGCAACCGGAAAAGATGAATTCCCTGCCAGGGAATCAGACTTGGGAGCTGATAGAACTTTCACCTATGAAGAAGACATTGCACAACAAGTGTGTGTACCGGCTGAAGACTGCGCTTGATGGCAGTAAGAGGTCCATGGCTAGATTTGTTGAAAATCACTTTCAGCAAAGACAAGATATTGCTCATGCTGTGGGAGTTGTAAGCAGAATTATGAGTAACCCAAGAAAGAATTTGGAGATACAAAGCTATGTTGACGATGATATGTCGACTAAGGGTGTTACTCTTGAGAAACTGAAGTTGCGCTCGGCTTTAGTTGCTCTTCTAGCGTGAAGACAAGATGCTTTGAGTTGCAGAGGTGGACGATGTCACGTTTGAAGAAAATGACAACTCAGCTAGTGGTTGATGCCGCCAGTGCACTAGTCACTAAGTGGGAGATTTGTTGCGAATATGAAAACTGGTCCATAGTTCAAATTGACATTTTCTCATGTTTGGCTGCAAATTAGATTTGATACTCAAAGTTAATTGCTTTTAATTCTTTCTATGATTTGCTGCAGAGGAGAAAAAAAAATAATTACTGGACTTCATTAACTATTTGAATAATTCCTTAATGGGTAGACATGATGAAATTAATAAATAGGCATGCTGACTTCCCTTGTTATCTCCCTCGGAATTTGGTTTCTAGTCTTCCTCTTCGACATTGGTAGCTTTCCAGGTTCTTCTGGTGTGCTTCGGTTTGAAGCTCTCGGGTAGAGAGAGAGGGGAGAGGAGAGGTAGAGAGAAAGTGTTTTCTTGTAATCGTCGAAGTGATCGACGGGTGTAATTTCTCAAGCTAATAAAATCCTCTGTAGCTCCGTGGATGTAAGCAATTTGCCGAACCAAGTAAATCTGTGTGTTCCCGCTATGTTTTCTATTTTGCAATTTTTTTTATTCGGTTTTTTCCTTTATTCTCGTCGTTTTTTCACAACACGACCCACACTAAGTCCCTGTTCCGTATATGATCACACACCCCTCTCCTTATCAAGCCCGATCCCAAGCTTGGTCTAACACTCAAGACCTTCATTTCTAATTTGAGTTTCATATTTTAGATTTTTGTTTTGTAAAAGAAAAAAAAGTGTTGTACTTTTATTTTATTATTTGTCCTCTCATAGATCCACTCATTTCATGATCTTCAACACTACTACTTAACTCGAAAAGGTATATAAATGGGATAATAGAGCAATTTCTTAAAAGATTCATTTTATGAGGCTTAAGTACCCGCCCTTGGGAATCAAGTAGATATTAGGAAAGTTATGGACTTGGAATTTTTTTTTTTATAAAATTAGGGGCATTAAAATATGCCTCTTTGGAAATGTGGGTATCTGTCCTTAGAAATTAATTTTGTTTTCTAAATCTAATCATGTTTAATGTAGCAAAAGGTTTGCTTTATCCCGTTTTGAAGAAAAAAATAATCGACGACGCTAAGAACGTCTGATTGGTTGAAGCCATAAAAAAGAAACCGACAACGATACCAAGAACGTCTGATCTGTTGAAGGCATGAAAAATACTAACAACCATGCCAAGATTGTTCGCCCGAACCTTCACTGACATTCTTTTTATATAAAAAAAAAATCTAAAAACAAGCTTGATTATATTCTCTGAAGATCTAATCACTTGAAGATGATTATTTTTCCAAAGGACTTATTCACTAAAAGATAGCAAGAAAACCTTTAAAAATTTAATGTTTATGGAATAACACTTTTGAGAATAATGAGCTTTCAATTATTATCACAATTTCGTCTTCAAGAAGTGAAAAACATAGGGGCTTCATGTACAGTCCAAAAATATGAGCTCGCTGAGTCGGAAGGGTCACCGTAGAAGACACGCAACAACCACAAACCCTCTGGCGGGCCACCTTTCTCTTTGGCCGGCTGCCTCGCCACTTCGGTTGGCCATCTCTTAAGATAAAAAATAAATTGAAATTTTACATAAATATCACCTTATCAGCTACCCTCTAGTCGGCTACCTTACCCGCCTGCCAACCGCCCATTGGTCGGCCACCTCCCTCTCCGGCTGGCCATCCACTAAAAAACCGGCCGCCTCGCTGCTTTTACTGGCCACTATGTCTGAACGTCTGTTAAAACAAAAAATATATACAGAGATTTACATCAACAACACCCCAAATCTTGATAGCCACCCTTTGGCCGACCACCTTGCCCGTTGGCCGGCCGCCCATTGGCTGGCCACTTCCCCCTCCGACTGGCCGTCCATGGCCTTTCCCATCGCCGCTCCAACCCTTAAAAAGAAGAAAATTTACGTAAATGCCACCTCAATTAAACAACAGGTTTATTTTGCCGGCCACCCTTTAGCTGACCACCTCGCTCGCGGGCTGACAACCTCCCCAGTTGGCTGACCAGTCGACCACCTCCCCCAGCCGGCCGACAACTGGTCGGTTGCCTCGCTGCTCCAACTGGCCCTCACAACCAGCCAACACATTATGGCAACAAATTGACATAAAATAACATATAAACCAGCCAGCCACCTCGGCTGACCACCGACCGCCTATTGGTCAGCCACCTACTACTTCGCTAGGCCATCCACTAGCCGCCGCCTCGCTGCTTTAGCGGGTCACCTCTCAAATCAGACATTTACACACATACCACTCAATTTCTTATACTGAAAAAAAGAAGGCATTTACATGCATACCACCCAATCTTTTATCTTTACATATCTAACACCTGAACTTTTATATCTTATTTGCTACCCGGTCACCTGAGTCAGCCACCTGACGCCGACGATTCTAGCAACAAGAAAGAGCTCCAGGAAGATCGGTTCGAGTAGTAAAAAGACCGGAGTACCCCTCATGACCCATTTATAACAAGGGAATATATGTAATTTCCTCCCCTTGTTTTCTCTGTATATAGATGACCTCCCTATAAGAAGGGAATATGTGTAATTTCCTCCCTTTGTTGTTTTCTTTGTACATAGATGACCCCTATCATGTAAAAGAGTCCCTTTAGGCTCTCTCTCTCCCCCCACCTTTCATGCAGGGAGCTTGTTTTCCTTCTCCCTCACTTGTAACCCAAGCTTGTGTTGAATTAAAGGGGCTGCCGAGCCCGTGGATAACCCCAATTTGCCCCTCGACAGGGCAACCTTATTTCTTTCTCTCGCTCTTTTTCTCCACCCGCGTAATCCGACTCTATTCCTTAGGCACGGTAGGCACGGTTGTCAAATTTCACGGCTAATCATGCCGTTTTAGTTGCATTGTTTTGTAAACGTAATATTTGATCTTTGATCCGAACGGTGTGCTACCATGGGCTCTTGAATAATCGCTTGCTAAACGGATTATGTTAAAATCTATAATTCTCTGTTTACTTATTTTATTCACAAGTAATTTAACGTCCCCTATTTTATCATGTGTCGAAAATCTAGTTTATATTTGCATTTTAAATTTACCTTCTATCTCAGAAGATTCTTATTTTCCACGGAAGAAAAACACAAGAAAAAACATTTATTTTTTCACTTGATAAAGTGGTTTCCGTTAAGAAAGTTACCTTTTTTGCAGGCCTTGAAGCGATAATTTCGATTCGCCCAGGAAATGCACCTCTCTCAGAGAATCATGAATTTAAGACCATCACATCCTTCGCTGAAATTTGATGTATTTCCACTGGAAAACATGGTCTAGAAAAATGGCAAAATACTTGTTTGAGCTGTAATCTGTAATATAGGAGCTTTCTATAACTATATAATATCTCTCTCCGACAGCTCCTTTCATCGTATGGCCATCACAAGAGTTGAGATTGCCTTTCTCAATTCAAGTTTGAACAAGTTAATTTTAGCTCATGTGAACTTTGATTTGAATCATGATCAGATTTTTCAGTTGAGTTTGAAGTTGATTCAAAGCTAAAAAATAATTTAAATTCTTTGCGCAGTTTTTGTAATAATATGGTGTAAATATTTTTATCTGCCCGTGTATATAAACATTTGGATATTTAGATAATAATGTATATTAAATAGATAAAAAAATAATGTCATAAAATAGTGGTTTCACTTTCTTTTATTGTGTAATATATGTAAAATCCAACATCAATCCAAAAACTGTACTAATAAAGTAATTTGGGCATGTAAAGGAACTTTTTATTAGTGTTAGATCTTGAACTCTGTATGAATCACACCTAAATTAGTGGATTTATATTTATGTAGAGTGCAGTGAAAGAAATGTGGAGGCAGAGATTTTAGGATTTTATCGATTTTAGTTAAATTGATAGGTAATTAATTATTCACCATTTGGCTGCATGAATGTCGTTTGCATGGTATGAGGACCGTTTAATAGATACATGTTATAATATAGGTTTTTTATTTTTTTTCGCAAGAAAATTTGTAAAAGTAGACGTTTAAATCAAGTTATCTGGTAGGCTAACTTATGAGCGGTTTTGATATAAGTTTGATCTTATGTGTATTTGACTGGAATACTAGCAAGAATTTTGTTATTTGGACATTTGGTTATACCCATTGAGTCTTTTTTTATTCTCTTTTATCTTTGGAAGTTTGTTGAAATAAATTATAAGACAACTAAAGGGCTTAAATAATTCATCAACGTGTATGAAAAATGTTGTCTTTGATTGATTTGATTGCAAGGCTATTTTATTCATGTCAGTTCATTTCAACTCTAAAAATATGAATTTGTGGGCTTTAGTTTGAATCTTTTTGTATTTCTTTCTTTTAAACTCTATGATTCATGCAAAAGATATGAAGATTTTGAAGGACAAAGTCCATGTCTCACCGAGATGCATCATTGCTAATTATTTTGGCAAACATGATAAACAAATGCAGTTTTACAAAAAAATGTGGAAAGTAAAGAAGAAATTAAAGTGGATGGAGACAAGATGAAAAATGAAATAAAAGACCTTGTGGCTTCATTACTAGTATTTGTAGCTACCATCCTCTCGCATTCTGCCTTTGACGATCCTTAGGTTATGAGTATCTTATCACTCCTATGGAGGTATGGTTTTTGAAAAAAAGGTGAGTGAATTTTATTTTGTTCTCATTTTCTTGTAGTATTATGAAGAAATTGAGAATACTATACAACTCTAGTCTTTATGAGTGAACTTCTTGGTGAGGACTAATATGTTGATTAATTATTGTCCAGATGTTGTTGTTAAAGCTAGGAAAGTTGAAGTTTGCCTTCAACCCCTCTCTTATAAATTAAATCTGACCCTCCGACACCCTTTCCCTCTTGTGACGAGCTCTGGGATTCACACTCTGCAGGTTTGTGTACACTCTGTCTCTTCAACATCTCATGGTCATTAGTGGCAAGCCCACAACCTTGCCATAGCCCATAGGTAAGTTTATATTCCATAGTTGTGGTTCTACTAGTATGTGAATTTTCATTCACCTATCAGGTTCTTGCATGATTCTTCCTATTTAGGATTCTGGTGGAAAGTGAAAAGGCATGAAAGCCTTTTATGGGGCTTTTTTTAAAAAAAATGGAGTTTTTGAAGCATTGTTATTTTGTGCATTGATTGGAATTTCGTATGATTAAAAAAAAAAGAAAAAAAAAGAGAAATCAAATATGTTGGACTTTTAATTTTTTTGTGCTTCTTCATGAAAATTTTCTCCATCAAATTTTTTCTTTACCATCTATTCTATTCCAAAATCAGATATAAGATCATAATTCCTAGGTGAATTAATATTTAGTCTTTTAAAATAATGTGTATGCATTAAAATCATAATTGTTTATATACAAGTTATCTGATTAATTTCAATTGTTTTTGAATGTTTGGTAAAATACCATTATAACATTATTTGTTCATGTGTGGGCAACTCTTTTATTCTCAACGGGTTAAATTTAGTTCAGAATATTTGATAATGAGTCGGGTTCCGACAAAATTTTTGATTGTCTTTTAAAACAATGTGTATGCATTAACATCATATTTGTTTATATACAAGTTGTCTGATTAATTTCAATCATTTTTGAATTTTTGGTAAAATATCATTATATCATTATTTGTTCATGTGTAGGCACCTCTTTAATTCTCAATGGGTTGAAATTGGGTCAGAACATTTGCTATTGAGACGGGTTCCGACAAAAAAAATTGATATGTTTAATAAATGAGTTGAATTCCAGGTTGGGTGTATTTGTGTCAGGCTAGACTCGAACATGACCTAAAAACCAGAATTGACAGCTCTAACAAAAGACTTATTGAGATCATGACTATGACTCTCTTGAATAAACAACTATTTGAAATTATTTGAAATATTCTTTCATTTCCAATCTCTTTTTGTTGGCTTCATTTTTGGCTGAACTTAACACCATTGCCTCATCAACTAAATTCTTTTAAAAGGAAAGTGGATTCTCTTTGACATTAAAGGAAAGTGGATTCTCTTTGACTGCCCTTCAAACAATGTTGTATGCTATTTAGCTAAAATAACATTGATCAATATGCTAAATTCTCTTAAAAGCGACTGGAATTTAATGAATTCCAACATTATTTAACCCTCATCAGCTTTGAGATCAAGTAGAAGGAGTATGAGGGAAAGATCACAAAATTTCTCACTCAAACCCTTACAAAGAAGTCCAAAGCTTAGCAGTCATTCACATCTATCAGGTTGGATTGTTACTTATCTCACATGTGAGCAAAGTAACAAAATAAATCGAGCGACATTAAATTACGTCATTCAAAGGAATTCATGATCAGTGTTGGTCATGTCTTCTTGGATCTAATTCATTATATAATTAGGGTAGCAAAATCGTTGGAATCGACAACTGAGCCATTATATATGCTCTACCTGTTAAAGCCTAGGTAAAAAGTAATAAAAGTTAGAAAAACATATCATCCCCAAACATGCCATTAAAAAAAAAGAGTATCTGCTAGTACACAAGTTCAAGGGAACTGGTCTCTCTCCCCCCATCAGTTGATACTTCTCATCCCAACACCATTCCCAAATAGGTGAAAAATATCCTAGGCAAAGTCACCTACACAAGGTAGGGGGTGGATCACCTGGAGAGCTCAGTGGATCGCTGATTCAAGCACGTGAAGAAGTAGAAACAAAAGTAGTTCTCTTGGTAAGCACAGATGTTCGGAGAGCCCTTTGAGTCTGGCTAGATGAGTCACCTTGAACCTCCCATGTTCTAATTATACAAGGGGTTAGGCCGAGTCGAACATTGCAAAATGGTGTCGATGATAAGGCAAAGTATTACAAGCTCCATTCATTTATATTCTATATTTTATATATTTAAATTATTGTAATATTTTGGGAAATTATTACTCATTTTTTTTTTAAATGCATATGTTTCCAAGTTTATGCATTTTCTTTTACTCTATAGGAATGATGCCTTTGTTGCTTATGCTTAAGTTATTTGAAAAAACCAACTTGGCCATCTTCTAGCACTTCAAATCTATAGAGATGGTGCCATGACATTGAGCTCTCTATCAAGGAAAGGTCTTAGTCTTAGGGTCAAAGCTGAAACATGTTTTTAGTATCATCATTCCCTTCAATAGAGCCACATTGCTTATGTCTTGGTGTTGCGCTGTTGAGACTTTTATCATGGTTGTTCTCAAGCTTTAGGGTTGATATTATTTTGCTACCCACTAGCTGCACCATGCCTTTCGATAGTGCCATAGTTTTCAGTCTTGGAATTGAGACATTGAGATTTTTATATCAAAAATACTATTTTCAAAATAGGTGCTATAACACTTGCTATTAGATTCAAGGAATCATAAGTGGTGGCAGGATGCACATCCCTATTCTGAGGGTGGTTTGTAATTGGTTGATGAATAATTTAGTCGACTGACATGGAGCTGACAGGTCAATAGCACTATAACACCACATTAGTTGCATTATAGTGTTGTATTAATGAAAACACGCACTTTGGTACAAGTAAGATTAGACGATTCTTGATTGGAAGAGTGAATGACGACTGCAAACATGGTGTCACTACATAAGCAATGCCTCGACACTACATCTCCATAGCACCATTTAGTTGAAATAAAATGACAATGTCCTAGCCAAGGTGTGTTAGCATGGTGAGATTTAACATCATATGGTCAATTTGTGTGGCATTGACGCGTTAGTAGTGCTGTATATGGCTTCGAGGCATTAAACCCAAATTTTCTCTTATAAATATGATAGTTTTCTACCATCTTAGGGTTGGCTTTTGGGCTACTGATTTTTATCTTGAGGCTTCTAGTGAGTCTCCTTGAGTGTATGAGGGATTGAAGTGTACCCCCATTCTGTCTCAAGCCTTAGGACTTTTCATTGCCATTTGGAATTTCAATTTGTTGTCAAGGCAAGATATCAAATGATTATAATGATGCTAGAGTACGATTTAAGGATCGATTTGGGAATCAAGATTGGAGTTAGATTGAGCAAAGTTAGTTACATTATTATTAGAAATAGTTAAGTTAAAACATAGTTGTTAAAACATAGTTGAAATCATAATCATTATATTTATAATACCCTGGTGGGGCAAAATGATAATCATATATGGTCAGGGGTTCGAGGATTTTCTTCCCTAAATCTGAGACAACCAATCTAACAGAGGCAACCCCTATCGTACCCCGCGCTATCGGTTTTTGTGGTGGCATTCTTCTCTTTCTCTTCTAGTAGCGGTGGTTTCTCTAGCAAAATTTCCATCTCTGGCTGAGTAGGCTATAGACTTTGAACGGCTGCCTGAGCTGATACAATTTGGATCTGATTCAGTATCTTCTTGGATGATTTTTTCCAAACTGTACTCTATCTATCTTTTTTCTGAATGCTACTCTATCAGAGTGATTGCCTCGGCCGAAGTCATATTTACAGAACTTTTTTCAGGTTCTTTTAAATATTCTTTTGGGATTGTTATATTCCATTCCTTAAAATTTTTCTCGAGCCAATCCTTGAAAACGAAG